CGGCCCGTGCCCGCGTCCCGGCCATCGCCGGCAGGACGTGCTCTGGGATCCCTGCAGCGCCGGGACGTGTTTGTACATATTTGTATATAGCAGACGTGCCCGGGGGGCGGCATCACTGAGATGGCAGAGCCAGGCGGTACCTGCTCCTTCCCGCACGTGCGCCGGACCCGGAGCGGCCCCGGCTCCGTTGGGGCCGGCGCGAACAAGGAGGGCGCCCCGTTTGCTGCACCACGTCTGCGCAGCGGGGAGAAACGGGGGATGGAGGGTGGGGGGAATGAACCATTTTCCTACGATTTCTGCCTTTCTGTGCTGCGTTCGAGCCAGCAAGAGCAGCGGGGAGCGGGGGCAGGTTCGGATTCGGGCGGTACCCGTGGGGCAATCCTGGTCCAGGAGGATCCATGCGGAAGCGGCAGGCGCACCCGGCGCGCGCGAGCGCGCAGCCATGGATGCGAGCGGGAGGCAGCACGATGCAAACGGCTCCCCGGGGAGCAAAGCGGAGCGGGACAAGGACAACGAGAGCGCGGGGGCTCGCGAGCTGCAGCTCCCGCGGGGAGAGCTCCATGGTTTTGCGACAGCAACAGCATCGCCGCTCATTCTGAGGCGAGAAGAAGCCCAAATCTCCCTCTCTGCCCCTGGCACATGGAGTCGGGAAGAAAGCAGGGCTTCCCGGGGTGGTTTCCAGAGAGGACATCGCGAGGGAAGCAACTCGGTTCCAGGAGCGCCGGAGCGTTCCCAGAGGCTCCCCAGGGACTGACTCTTTCGATGCACAGATATGAGATGGGATCTGGGGTCTTTACTAGAAAAGAAGCCTGGTTATCCCCAAGTGAATAAACCTCTTTTTCCAAAACAGCTATACATTCCATTCCCCCTGCAATTTCCAACACAAACAGGGTTTTACGGGAACGGGAAACAAGCTCTCCCAAAGCCACCCGTGCCGAGGGCGCTCCCGGGCAGAGGCAGCCGCAGTCCCACGCCTCGCCATTGCTTCCTGGCAAGCCAAGAGCAGGGAGCAGGGACGGGCCGAGGCTCACGCAGGAAAACCATTCCCGCGGTAGCCGCCACGCGGAGCAGCTGGAGCCCACGGGAACGCCTGTATCGAAGCACACGCAGGAGCAGATGTCTGTGCAGCAGGGCTCTACGGAAGGCAGACTGGGCAAACCCCGCTGGGCTCAGCGGAGCTTCCTTCGTTTGGAGGGAAACCCGCAACAACAAAGCAGCTGTAGCCCGCGGGAAGGATAAATCCCCAAAGAACCAGGCGTTCTAACAGAGCACCTGGCAACGCAGCCAGTGCATGGCTGTCTCCCTCTAGCGCTGCCTCTGCAGCCACACAAAAGAAAAACAAAAGGAAATAAAAAAGGAAAAAAAAAAAAAGGCAGTTTTAATAGAAAGCGCCGCATAATCTAGGCAGACAGGCGGGTTTGGGGAGGCCGCGGGCCGCGCTGCCATGGCAACGGTCGCTCTGCCCGCC